TAAAACGAATACACCATTGTTTGTTGCTGCTCTTCCGATGTTCGTGTTGTCCACATCGTGTATTAACTCTTGCTCTTGTGTCGTGCAGTTTCCAACCGTGGGGATTTTCTTCTTCAAGAGTTGAAGAGTTGACACTAAATTGAAGCCAAGATTGTTGACGAGTAAAACGCTGGTAAGGCATAAAGACTTTCCCGTATCGAGTGATGTCAAAAGTAAACTGCCGATATTTTATGCTGAAATTGTTTGACCGTTGGCGAGTGTGATTGGACAGGGTTAAAGAAGTCGACGACGGTTGTAGATGAAAGGATTGGTTGAAGAGACCATATGATGGCCACAACAACTATCCAAGTACCAAGTATCGGTATCTGTACTGCAACCAGACATGTGAGTGTTTGAACTTGGTAAGAAAATTTTTGACGTTACCGTTTTGTTGGCAGAGTTTGAATTATTTGCGGCCGGCTTTGATGAGTTGCATGGAGGGGCAGAACTGAGTGTCGTTGGTGGTGTTGATATTGCAGATGATGATTTTGGAGGCGTATGTTGCTGAAAGAACTGCTTCGAAGGCTGTCGCAGTTGCTGTAATGATTGCGACCTCTGCAATTCTTTAGGAGGTAAATACTTCTTGTTAAAATAGCATCGGTCGGTAGAATGTCCTCCCTTGTTGCAATTTTGACAGAAGTGTCGAGGACGTCGAGTTGGTGTTGAATAGAAACTAAGTTGTATATCTCCCTGTTTGTTGCGTTGTGACTACAGGTCAAGATCTTGCTGCTCCGCTTGAAGATACGACGAAATTTCAGCTTCGGAGAGGTTCTGATTCATACGCAGGAAGGCACGCGTCTGTCGCCATTCGGGTCCAAGGCCAGCCAGAAGGACCGTGAGATACATCTCACGAGGGAAGTATCATCCGCTATTTTCCAGTTGATCTCGTAGTGTACGGACACGGTTAACGTAGTCCATGACGTTTTCGTTTGTCATCATCTGCACACTTGTCAGCTACGAAAGTATCTTACTCACTGTTATCGTATCCTTTGCCATGTATACCCCTTTCAGATGGTTCCATGCAGTTTCGGCAGGTGTGAAACTTGAGTGAAAAGATCGAACGCCGAGCTGCTCCTTCGACGACAAGTTGCGTACAAGAACTGTATACGCCCCGAGAGAGGCGTGTAAAAAACTCTGCGGCTCCAGTTGTGTTCCCACGACAGGGTACGTAAACTCGCCAGTGAAGAACGGTCACAACCCAGCGGACTGTGCCAGAAGCTCAAATTCGAAGCTCCAGGAGTAGAAGTCAAATCCGTTAAAAGGTACGGTTGTCTTGATCTGAGTATTGTTGAGTAAATTTGGAGGCTGAAAAACAATGCCTGGCTGTTGCTGTTGTTGCTGTTGATGTACTTGCTGTGGTTGCTGTTGATGTTGTTGCTGTTGTACTTGCTGTGGTTGCTGATACTGCTGTTCTTGTTGCTGAGCAGGGGAACGTCCGAAGACATGAAAGGGATGCTGAAACTGCTGTGACTGCGGCTGCTGTATGAAAGGTGAGAAAGCGAACCAATCGGTATTTGGAGCTCTGGCTCCTCGCATGTAACTTGAGCCGTCAAGGCTCATTCCACTGAACGCAAATGAAATCGATTGCGTTGAAACTGGTGGCTGTGCCGACGCTTGTTGCTGTGTTGTCGTCTGTGATTGTTGCTGTTGCGTTGCACGTGCAGTCGATGGAGCACCTGGAGTATTCACAGAAGGCGGATTCTGCTGTTGCATACCGATATTAGCGTAGGCTAGTGGAAAGTGCCCAGAGGCTGAGAGACTAGCGACCGTAGTGGAGGCATGTGCTCCAGTAGTCCCAGTAACTGATGTGGCAGATGGTGCTGGTGATGAACCAGTCTTAGTTGACGGTAGTCTTGATTCCAGATAGCTCTCATACCATGAAATTAATCTCTTGGTGAAGTAGAAGACTAAGTATAAAACTTTAAACAAGAACACTTGGCAAACCCTCAAGTGTTGGTCGAGGATCTTTGCTGGAATGGTAGACGAGTAAGACAGCGGAAGTCTTGTAAAATGTAGAGGTCAAGGTTGAATAACCTGAGTACGTGAACTTGTGAGTAATCAAAGTTGAATAACCTGAGCACATAATTCTGTGCAAAGTCAAGGTTAATAATAGAAAGGCATTACAAGGATTTATAGCTCTAGGGAAAGTACCTGTTCGCTAATGTACCTGTTCGTCCTGACCCGACTCCTCCGTCGCACGTCTGGTCTCACCGTCCCTCCCGTGCTCGTCCTGCCTCGCCTGTCCTGCGCTCCCACCCTATGTTGCTTCATTCCCATGCGTCTCGTCCTCCCCTTCTGCCGTCGCCTCCTCCTTCCTCCCTTGTTGTTGCACCCCCCCCGCTGTCTGACTACCTTCGTGCTGCTCGTCCTCTTGTTCCTCGCGTCCTTGCCTCTCTCGTTACCGACCCGTCTGTTCCGGCCTCGTGCCTTGACGCCCTTGTCGCTGCTGTCGCTGACTTCGCCTCTTCCCGCCGCCTTGACTACACCTCCGCTCTGGTCTCTGACCGTGCCTGTCCTCCGTCTGTCGGGGGTGCTCCTGCCCTTGGCAGTGACGTCCTGGAGGACCGCCAGTTCGAGCTTGCCTTCCTCTCCGAGGCTGCTCCCCATCTCTGTTCCATGCTGCTAGTCCCTGAGGGTGACCCAGACGCTTTTGACATCCCGACCCCTCGCACTTACGCTGAGGCGACCTCGGGACCCTGGGCCTCGCAGTGGATAGCTGCCATGGAGCAGGAGATGGCATCTTGGAGATTCACCGGCACCTTCGTCGACGCAGTTCCCCCGCCTGGGGTGAACGTAGTCGATGGCCGCTGGCTCTTCAAGGTGAAGCGCCCTCCTGGAGAGCCGCCTGTGTTCAAGGCGCGCTACGTGGCTAGAGGCTTCAGTCAGCGCGAGGGGGTGGACTTCTTCCAGACCTTCGCTCCGACCCCGAAGATGACTACTCTTCGGGTTCTGTTACACCTAGCTGCTCAGCGTGACTACGAGCTTCACTCCCTCGACTTCTCCACTGCCTTCCTTCAGGGCAGCCTACACGATCAGGTCTACCTACGTCGCCCTCCGGGCTTTACTGGCACCTTCCCTCCTGGGACCCAGTGGCTCCTGCGGCGCCCCGTCTACGGCCTGCGCCAGGCTCCCCGTGAGTGGCACGACACTCTCCGTGCTACGCTTGCTGACCTGCAGTTCTTTCCGTCTTCCGCAGAACCTTCCCTCTTCGTTTGTGTTGGCCAGACTCCGTTCTACATCCTTGTTTACGTCGACGACCTGGTCTTTGCCACAGCAGACAGGGACGCACTGGCCTCCGTGAAGGCAGAGCTGCTGAAGAGACACACCTGCACTGACCTTGGAGAACTGCGCCGTTACCTTGGCTTGCAGATCTCCAGGGACAGAGCTGCGCGCTCCATCACCCTGAGTCAGTCACACTTGGTGCGCCAGGTCCTTCAAAGGTTCAGCCTTCAGTTCTCCTCTGCACAGCCCACCCCTCTGCCTGTAGACCACAGGCTCTCCGCTCCAGTGTCTGAGGAGTTGGTAGAGCCCAGCGGCCCCTACGCAGAGCTGGTGGGTTGCCTCATGTACCTGATGACTTGCACTCGCCCAGATCTCGCATACCCTCTCAGCATCCTGGCTCGTTTTGTGGCCACAGGCAGACACCGACCGCAGCACTGGTCTGCCGCTAAGAGGGTTCTGCGTTATCTTGCTAGTACATCGGGCATGGGGTTGGTGCTAGGAGGACGCAGGCCAGTGGTCCTTACTGGACACACAGACGATTCGTGGGCAGCTGACGCTGAGACACTCAGGTCTACCCAGGGCTACTGCTTCAGCCTTGGCTCAGGTGCCGTCTCGTGGAGAGCTACCCGCTCCTCGTCTGTTGCCCAGTCCAGCTGTGAGGCTGAGATCTACGCTGGTGCCATGGCGGCACAGGAGCTCTGCTGGCTGACCTTCTTGCTCACTGACTTAGGTGAGCGGCCTAGCTCTGCCCCGGTCCTGTTCGCTGACAACAGGGCCATGATCCTCCAGTGTCAGGAGCCTCGACTCGAGGGCAGAGCGAAGCACATTCAGCTGCGGTACTTCCTCCTGCGTGAGCTACAGCAGCGACGTCAGGCTCGCGTAGTACACTTGGCCTCAGGTGCCAACACGGCTGATATCTTTACGAAAGCGCTTGCGCCTAAAGATCATCAGCGGCACTGTGTACAGCTTGGTCTAGTTCCTGTAGCCTCTCACTTGCTAGGACCTTGACTTTGTACTGTCCCTTATATGTATACTCAGACTGGACTTGTGTCCTCTCCCAGTGGCTGCACTAGTAGTGCCGCCCTGCTCTTGTTCTTGCCTTGTCCGTACTCCTTCTGACTGGTCTCTCAGACCCTTGTCTCAGAGGTTGGACTAGTAGTGCCGCCCTGAGCTGCTTGTTTAGGACATTCCCCTATGCAGTCTAGGGGGTGTGTCAAACATGTGTATTTGTCATGTTTGTATAGACTGTATAGGGTAGCCTCTTAGAGGGTACAAGACTTAGGTATATCTGTGTGTACCCTCTCTCTAACGATCATTCACTTCTTCAATTTCTGATACTAACTACAATGAAAACGGAACTTGCAGGAATGCGAAACTTCATTTACCACAACATTGGTGACGCGAGATCTGTTTTCTGAGATCGCGCTAGGAAAAACTCGCTACTCAGGGCACACCATGTGGCGCCACCTCATCGGCGAAGCGAAAATGACAAGAATTGTGCTGACGCGAACAATCAGGCTGACCCCTAGTTGACTGGAAAGGGGTCTTATCCTACAACCGCCAAAAAGGGGGGTCCTCAATATCGGGATGCACAGGATAAGACCCACCCCGGTATAAAGACCCATGGGGCTTTTAGCCAGGTGTATACTGCATCACCCTATATGCTCTTGCTAGAGTTCACTTCGTTACTCTGACACACGTCCCGAATAACTAATGGTATTCCATTGTAGATAATGAAGAGTGTTTACACAAAACTATAAGATGGCTAGAATATCTAATCCAGAGTGTACATTGAAAGTAGACAAAATAGCAGGGACATTACAACTGAAAAGTTTCCTCATCGTCGAAGCAGTTTATAGCATCTTGAGAATGTCTCCGAGGTCCAGGACAGGGAAAGGGCTGCAATGCAGGCAGCAGGGAGGGCGAGAGAGAGCATAGAAGGGGATTTAAGAGAGTGCGCAAGAAACTAGAGGAAAGAAGTCCGGCGAGGAAAACAAGTGGAAAAGAGGGAGACACAAGAGAAAAAGGCTGTAGGTAGATTGTGTTGAGAGGGGGGAGGGTAGCGCCACCGCGCCAACAATTCTACGAAATGGATGCACGAGTAGTGGAAGATGCGCGAAGAAGTTACCTGGACAAACCGGAAAGTTACCTGGACAATCTGGGAAGTTACCTGGATGGTTCGGCTGGTGGAGCAGGAGGCAAGGGGGAGGGAGTGGGTGCAGCGGCAGCACTTGGGGGCGTGTATCGGGGAAAACCTGTTCTTGGAGCCGCTGCCGCTGCTGCTGCTGCTGCTGCTGCTGCTCCCCCACCCGCTCCTCCACCTACTGCCCCCCCACCCACAACTGCTCTACCTGCTGCTACTGCTACATCCACAGCTGTTCCTCCGTGGGACAACATCAATGAAGTATCTGCAGCAGCAGCACTACCAGCTTTCGCTGCTGCTTCTGGCCGGCCTGCCTCCACTGCTACCTTTCCCCGTCCTCGTGCCCTTCCCCTTCCTGCTCCTCTCCCTGCTGTGTTTCCTCTTCCTGGCGCCTTCCCTTGGGCAGCCTTTCCCCTCCCTGCAGCAGCAGCACATGCAGCACCAACAGCACCAGCAGCACCAACAGCACCAACAGGACCAAGAGCAACAGCAGGAGCAGCAGCAGCAGGAGGAGCAGCAACATCAGCAGGTGCAGGCTTCGCAGCAGCCTTACCACCTCGCGCCTTGCCTGCTGCAGGCACAGGCTCAGTGGCAGCAGGATCCTCAGCAGAAGCAGGAGCAGGCGGAAGAGCAGGAGCAGCAGCAGCAGCAGCAGCAGCAGCAGCAGGGGGCATAGCAGCAGCCTTGGCACCACGCCTCTTGCCTGCACGAGGGGCTGCCTCACTGACAGCAGGAGCAGCAGCTGCAGACACATTAGCATGTGTTGCTTTCGCAGCAGGCCTGCCACGAGGTCTAGCTGCAGGAGCCACGTCATTGGCCGCAGCAACGTTACCCGCAGCAGCAGCACCCTTAGCATCGGAAGCTTTAGCAGCCTTACCACGACCCTTGGCTGCTGCTGCAGAAGTAGTCTTATCACTCACAGCAACAGCGGTACCAGCAACACTTGGCGCTGCCACGGCGCCGGGAGCAGCAGCAGGAGCAGCAGCAGGAGCAGCAGGCAGTGAGGCAGGAGACCCACTCTCTCCTTCCTTGCCCTTACCCCCCTTCTTCCCGCCCCGCTTGCTTCCACCCTTCCCACCCACTGCTGCTGTTGCCGCCACAGCCGCTGCTACCGCTGTCCCTTTCCCACCTCCCTCTATCGCGCCCTTCTCCTTCTCCCCACTCTCTGCCTCCACTTTTCTCTGCCCCCCCTTCGCCTTACCGTCCTCTGTTGCCCCCTTCGCCTTCCCCTTGCCCTTCACCAACCCCTTGTTATCTTTTGCCTTCTCCTTGCTCGTCTCAACAACCTCCTCCACACTCTCCGCCTCATCACCCCCACTATCATCCTCTTCCTCCTCTTCCTCACTCTCCGTCTCACTCCCCTCCTCATTCGCCTCTTCCTCACTCTCCTCCTCACTCTCCTCCTCACTCTCCTCCTCGGTCTCCTCCTCACTCCCTTCCTCATCCACCCCGCCCTCTTTCTCTCCCTTCACCTCATCACCCTTCTCACAAGCATCAGGAACCTTGTCTGCTGCTGCCGCTGCTGCTGCTGCTGCTGCGGACTTACTTGCAGCTTCTTTGCCTGCTGCTCCCTTTCGTTCCACCCCTTTGCCTTCTGCTGCTTTACGTGCTGCTCCTTTTCCCACCCCCTTGCTTCCGTCTGCTTTACCTGCTTCTTCTTTCTCTTTCGCTACTTTACCCGCCGCTGCTGTGCACTCTGCTCCCTTTCCATCTGCCTTGCTTTCTGCTTCCTTCTTCGCCACAGCTGTGCTCACCGCAGCAGCAGCAGCAGCTTGAGTCCCAGCCTTCTCTATTGGCTCCTTGCTCGCCCCCCCACCGCTCTCCACCATCACCACCTCATCCTCTTGCTCCTCTCCCTCCTCCTCCTCCTCCTCCTCCTCTTCCTCCTCCTCCTCCTCCTCCTCCTCCTCCTCCTCCTCCTCCTCCTCCTCCTCCTCCTCCTCCTCCTCCTCCTCCTCCTCCTCCTCCTCCTCCTCCTCCTCCTCCTCCTCCTCCTCTTCCTCTTCTTCCTCCTCCTCTTCCTCTTCCTCCTCCTCCTCCTCCTCCTCCTCCTCCTCCTCCTCCTCTTTCTCCTCTTCCTCCTCTTCTTCCGACTCTTCATCCAACTTCCCCTTGTCCTTTTCCCCCACTGATTTCCTTTCCTTCCCTTCCTTCCCTTCCTTCCCTTCCTTTCCTTCCTTTCCTGCGTCCTCTGTCTCTTCGTCAGATTCTTCCTCATCCTCACTCTCCTCATTCTCAGTCTTCCCCTCCTCCTTCGCATCTCCTTCTGAAGCCTTTCTCTCTCCCTCCTCCTCGTCCTCTTCCTCCTCTTCTTCTGACTCTTTGTTGGTCTTCTCCTTGCCCTTTCCCCACACTGCCTTCTCCTTCCCTTCCTTCCCTTCCTTCCCTGCCTCCTCCTCGGCCTCCTCTGTCTCTTTGTCGGATTCTTCCTCTGTCTCCCCTACTGTCTCAGAATCATCATCCTCACTTTCCTCATTCTTAGACTTCCCCTTTTCTTTCGCATCTCCTTCTGAAGCCTTTCGCTCTTCCTCATCTTCCACCTGCATTGATCGCTCCTTCTCAATCTCCATATCCTTCTTGTCTTCCTTTCCATCCTCTTCACACTCAGCCTCACTCCCTTCGCTCTCGTCTTCACTCTCCTCCTCGCTCTCCCCACTTTCATCCCCTACAAGACTCACCACTTCTTCATTCCTCCCCTCTCCACCACCTCCCTTCCCCCCAGCACCACCATCCTTCCTTGCAATCCCATCCTCTCCCGCACTCCCTTCTCTCTCCTTCAGCGCCTCACCCCCTCCGTGTGATGCTTTCCCTTTCATTCCTTCGTCTTCGCCCTTCTCTTTCTTCTCCTCAACCTCGTCCTCCCCCCTCGTCCCTGTCCTCTCCTGCACCCCTCGACTCTCCTTCTTTTCATCTCCTCCCTCCCCATCTCCTCCCTCCCCATCTCCTCTCGCTCTCTCATTCTTTCCCCCATCCCCCTCACCCGCACTATCCATCTTCCCCCCCACTGCACCCCCCTCCACCTTCCCCTCACCACCCTCTTTCCCCTCCACCTTCCCCCCCTCCTGCTCATTCCCCTCTCCTCGTCTTTGTCTCTTCCCGACCCGTCCCACTTCCAAACCCCCCTCACCCACCGTCTCCCCATCAGCTCTCTCCGCTTCTCTCTTCTCCCCGGCTGCCTGCCGTCCGTTTCCATCGGCAACCATTTGCTCCTCCGCACCCTCCCTCCTCCTCTTCCTCTCGCCCCCCCCTTCTCGACCCACTTCAGGCCCCACTTTGCCACCCACCTGTGCCTCCCCTCCCCCTCCCCTCCTCTTCCTTCCTGTTATCCCTCCTGCTCCTGCCTTTTCCTCGACTGCTCCCCTCCCTTTCTCCTGACAGGTCTCTAGCGCCCACTCGTTTTGACCAGCCACCTTCCCTCTCGCTTCCTCATCTCCTGCCCCTCCTCCTGCTCCCCCTTCTCCCCCCTCTCCGTGTTTTCCCCTATTTTGCCCCTCTCCTGCCCCCCCATCTGTGAACTGTAGCATATCCCCTCCTCTCTTCCCCACTCCCCCATCAAACCTCATCCTTTTCCCTCCTCCCCCTACCACCACCCCCCTCACTCTCCTCCTCTCTCCCGATTGGCTGACCGACACCACTCCCCTCTCTGCCACGTCAGCAGCAGCAAGGGCGGACAGCAGCCCACGCTGGAACGCCACGTGGTCACAGGAAAGGCTGCCACGTGGCAGGTGATGATGGCCACGAACGAGAGGGTCGTTGTTGCTTTCAAGAGAGAAGCCAAAGGCGAGGTGGTGCGTCAGATAGTCTGCAGCATGATGGAAAGAACGGGGACATGCAAAGAAGACAAACACAAGGGAGAGGAGAATTTGGGTGAGTGAAGGAATAAATGTAAGGAGAGGGCAAGTGACGGGGGAGAGGGTCCGCACTGCTTTTGAGAGAGAACCCAAAGGCGAGGTGAAGCAATGTCGGATGGGCTGACAAGGGGAGACGAGGAAAGAAGGCGACGAGGTGAGGTAAGTGGCAAGGGGAGGGAAGATGAGAGAAACGGGGAAATGGGGACACGGGGACACGGGGACACGGGGACACGGGGACACGGGGACACGGGGACACGGGGACACGGGGACACGGGGACACGGGGACACGGGGACACGGGGACACGGGGACACGGGGACCGGCGCGCGAGGGAGAGAAGGTGCGAGATGACAAGGACATGCGTTCCTCATTGACTCACATGCACACAGACTCAAAACATGTGGAAGGAGAGCATCTGGAGGAGGAAGGGTCGCGTGCAAGGGGAGGGGTGAATATGAATACGAATGTGAATACGACTACGACACGACATGCAGAAGAAGCACTCGTCTGAGACACATACCGACCACGCGGGGAAGAAGGGGGGGGGAGGGGCGAGCAAGTGCGATGCAAGGCCATGGAACTCCCAACCAAACAGCAGCCATGCGAGCTCACCGCTGACATCAGCAGCAACATCGGCATCCCCGGTGAAAGCGAGGATGACGTCATCTTGTTTTAAACACTCGGCCAGTTTGAAGTGAGGGGCGGCTGCGAACAAGGCTGCGTGGCGGAACACCTGCTTTCGGCAGGAGGAAAGAGAGGGGGAGAACGGGGGAGAACGGGGAAAGAAAAGGAGGATAGCAGAGGGGACGTGAAGGGCGAGTTGAGCAACCGCGAACAGGGCCGAGCGGCGGAACAGCCCTTTGGCAGGAGGCAACAGGGGGGAATGGGGAGAAAGGAGGATTCCAGAGGGGAAGGGAATGTGGGGAATGGTGGGGAGAGATCGGCCAGAGGTGGACAATGAAGGGGCGAGAGGAACACGTAGGGTGCGGTTTGGTGGGTGTGCGAGAAAGGGGAGGCTGGAAACGCCCACCCCCATGGTGCAGGGTTTTCGACTATAAGGGGGTTGAAGGTTTTGACCAGGGGTGATGTAGGGTCGAGCTAGAGCTTCGGGTTGAGTTCGGCCTGTGATTTCAGCGCTTGATGCACTCGCGGGGGGGTTGAGGGAGGGGTTAGGGCGGAGTTATGGAGGGGTTAATGAGGGTTTGAAGAGGGTTGAAGGAGAGTTTGACGAGGGCGTAACGAGGGGTTAAGGCGGGTTTAACGAGGGTTTTAGGAGTGGGTAAGAAGGGTTTAAGGGACGGGGTGGTCAGGGGAGGGTTGAAGAAACTGACTTTTGAGTCGAGTCAAAAGGAAGGGGTTAGGGAACGCGTGAGGGGAGGAGAGGTGGAGAGGTACACACCTTGGCGGACTCGAAGCGCACAGCACCCTTCTCCGGGTGCACACGCTGGTGCAGCTCGCTCACTCCATCTGCAGAGCGGGAGGAAGGGCGGTTGGGGAGGGGGGTGCGGGGTGGAGTAGGTTAGAGAGGGAGTGATAGAGGGAGGGGAGGGGAAGGGGTGAAGGAGGAAAATGGGGAAGGAGATGAGGGGGTTGACAAGGGGAGGAGAGAGGAGGAAGCGCAACAGAGGGAAGACGAATAGCATTGGGTGGAGGAGAAAAACTCTCCACGTCGAGCGGAGGGCGAGAGGGGCAGGAGGCGAGGGGGGCGCACGCAGGAGGTCGCTTATGGTGGCGGAGGGAGCGGCGGGACGAGCAGAGGGGAGGGGAAGGGGGAAAGGGGTAGGGGGCAAACGACACGAGCGCCGGGGAATTAGAAGTGTGGGGCGACGGGGACGCACGGAGGAGGTCGCTTATGGTGGCGGTGGGAGCGGCGGGGACGAGCAAGCGCGTGCCGAGCACGGTGTGCACGTGCAGGCACCACGGCGAGATAACGCCTCCCCCCGATGGCGCCTCCGACGCTGTCGTTGTGGGCAACTCCAGCTCTCCAGTCGTTACCCCTCCCGCCTCTACCGTTCCCCTCCCTGCCCCTCCCGTCGCTGCTCCTCCCGCCCCCACCCCCGCTCGCCTCTACTCCACCCATCGCTACCGCACCCCTCCCTGCCCCTCCCCTCCCTGCCCCTCGCGTCGCTGCCCCTCCCCGCGCGCCCGCTGCTCGCCCTCTCGGGGCCATTTCAGTCGCTCGCACGCGTCAAAGGCGCAAGCGTCAAAGGCGCACGCGACAAAGGCGCACGCGTCAACGGCGCACGCGTCAAAGGCGCACGCGTCAAAGGCGCACGCGTCAAAGGCGCACACGTCAAAGGCGCACGCGTCAAAGGCGTACGCGCATCGCAAAACAGGGGGTGGGGGATTACAACAACCAAGTGTGTGGTTGGCGAGTACGGGGTTTTGGGGGTGGTTGGGATACTTCCCTGCGAGTTGATGCGAAGTGGCGTGGGCATGTTGTGGGGGGTTGCGGATTTGCGGGTGACTGGAACAGAAGATGTTTTCCGCATCGGCGGGTCGCACTTCACCTGCTAGGTCAAAATTCATCTTTGTGTTGACCCCGCTATTGACGTAGGTGGTTTTTGTTAATGTATGTACATGGTTTTTCAATTGCACACCGGTTTTAAAATGTGTGGTCAGTCTTCGATGCTATTGCTTGAGACTGTTGAACAGTACGGATTTGGAAGTTGTTATGATATAGGAAGTGTCAATGTACTATAACGTGAGAATACAAGGTCGCTATTGCAATGAAGGCACGAGGTTATATAGGGTTGGCGTGCTAGGGCGATAACCTCGGAACGTGGGTAAGTTCGGCAATGTGGCGACAGTGCCGGACGCGACTCGGGAAAGGGTTGGGCCGATAAATGAGGTCGAACGTGACGAGTCGAGGAGTTCGGGTGTACGCGCTAGCGCACGACTCAGTAAGGAATGGAAATTCCTTACAGAAGTGGTGATTGGAACCTTCGGCGTGATATGCCTAGCAGAAGTTCACCTGCCAATGTGGTGAACCGGTTTTGTTGGCCAGGTGGGTGGGGCGGAAAACCTGACCAATGAAAAAGCGACACAGTAGTTTGTTCCTATTTTAGTGAGCGTCCGTCCCAATTAGGGATAAAGCCCGCACCAAGTCTGGAGGAACGAACGAACGGACTATCTTTGTTAGATGTTTGACGGTCGTCATGAATATAATGCCAATTGTCGCCCTTGCCAACTCTCCACGTCACGTTTTTTATGATAGCCCATCAAACTTGCCACGTGTCACCCTCGCCAACTGTGGCCCACGTTTGGCTAAAGGAATCCGAAACAGTGACCTAACCGCGAGGAACCACCATGCAGCACCACGCACTAGGGCACCTTACACTCCTGTCATCTCACATCACAGATTGCAACCACCGTGATTGCAGTATTGGATCGCACTGGCTCCTCCTGAGCCAAGTGCATCGTCCTGCTCTCCAACCTTATGACCGATTTTACGCTTTCTCTGCTAGAGTAGCTATTAGTGGCGAGTCTGTCAGATCTAGCGTGGAACCAACCTGGCTGCGAGTGCTTTTTTTCTTCCGGCCGTCGACTGTTGAGGTGTGATTATAGTTTATTAACATTTTTTAACTGCGCGTCTCGCTTCAGCGCACGGTTTTGGTACTTTCCGTTTACTGTTTTGTTGAGATTTGTGACATTTTAGGCAAATCCAAAAGCCTAGGGATGTATTACTTTCCTTTAAACCTCGATTGTGTTACCATTTGCGGCCATCACTGACGCCTTGCTTACGTGATACCTATTTGCTGCAGGGTTCATCGAGTTCATGAGAAGATAAGTTCTGCTGCACAATCTGTCCAAGAAGACTGCAGCAGATTCAAGAAATTTACAAGCTGTGCAGCACTGGTGTGGCAGGTCTCCATGCTAAGTAAGACAGCAGCAGAGTCTTAGGTGGCATGGACAGTGTAGCTGGTGTAGCAGTGAAGGCACCTTCTGTGTAGTACCTGAGTATAAAGTTACAACTTATGTTGTACTTTTGTTATAGTGAAAGGTCTTTTCTCAACTTCTTGGGCGATATGGTAGGCCGGGGTGGTCCGTTCCAGTGTGACCATGCTAGATATCTCGCCACGTTCACATGTCCTCTTTAAAAAAACCGTCATACTAATCGTGGAGTGCACGTCTACGCCGAAGCCGAAACAAGTTCAGCCTGTGCATGGGAGTGTGGACAGCCCCCCCATGAGTACATGGAGGCATTGAGGGGAGCTGGACAAGTCCTGGAGTTCAGCAGCAGGAAGAGAAGGGCTACAGCTAGGGATGATCGCATGAGCAGGCCATTGCCGGATCCGGAAGATGTGCAACCTAATGCGGATACCACAGGGTATGACTTCTCGCCTAGAGCGGACACCTCACTTGCCGACCTCGACAGTAGATTGTATAGCTTCTGCAAGGCAGCTGCTGGTGGAACTGGCCTTTCAAGGGCAGATATGAAGGAGCTGCTCAGCATTGTAATTCAAGCTATAGAGGCACCAGGTCATGTGAGCCTGAGAACTATGGCGGACTTCGACAGATTCGAGGAGGCACGGACCGTTGAAGCGGTTATAGATAAGTTTGTGGTGAAGAATCTGCGCAAAAGAGGAGATTTGAAAGACATCAACCTCTGGTACCATTCTAGTATGTCCTGCATCAGAGGAATGTAGCAAAACCCTGCAAACACTGATGAGTTTGTTGCCAAACCACAAGTGTTACTTGAGGGTGCTACAAGACTTTACATGGGGCCAGAGACAGGCTCATGGTGGCGTGAGCTACATGCGAAGCTGCCGGCGGGTGGGTGTGTAGCGGCTGTTATTATTTACTCTGACGAGACGACTCTCACCACCCATGATGGCGTGACAGGTTGGCTGGTGTACATATCGTTAGGAAACATCTCCTCCGGCAACCGGTGGAAATCCCATGGGCATCAGCTGTGTGCATTGCTCTCGGAAATCAACAAGCAAACGTTTCCAAAGGGGGAGGAATCCCGTAGACGACATGAGGTCTTCCAGGAGTCCCTGAGCCTTATCCTCGCAGAGCAGAAGAGAGTTCTTAAGAACGGGTACATTTTTCAAGGTTATTGATTAGCCCCCCCTTCTCCCCCCCCCCCTCCTCCGGTTTAGGATCCTTCCACACTCATCCACCCTTTTTCAGTTTCCTCTATTTTGTTAACAACTCCCATCCCGCTCATTCCCTCATTCATGCCATGACCCTGTTGGTTTTTAGCTTGCCCTCCCATTATCCCCTTTTCCCCCCTGGTTCCCCATTACTCCACACCTCGCCCAACCCTTTTTATCTCCTCTATTATTTAACAACCCCCATCCCACTCATTCCCATCATGCTTCCCATTAGGCCGTTGGTTTTTACCATCCCCTCCCATTATCACCCCTTTCCCCTCCTGGTTTCCCATCCCTCTACACTCATTCAACCCTTTCCAACTTCCTCTATTTTTTTCACATCCCCCATCCCACTCATTCCCATCATGCTTCCCATTAGGCCGTTGGTTTTTACCATCCCCTCCCATTATCACCCTTCCCCCCCCCCCCGGTTTCCCGTCCCTCCACTCATTCAACCCTTTCCAACTTCCTCTATTTTTTTCACATCCCCCATCCCACCCATTCCCATCCTGCTTCCCATTAGGCCATTGGTTTTTACCGTCCTCTCCCATTATCACCCTTCCCCCCCTGGTTTCCCATTACTCCACACTCGCCCTACCTTTTTCATCTCCCATGCTAGTTGTTACCAACCCTGTTCTGGTTTCCCTGTTTCTAGAACTCTGTCCTAATTCTAGCCTCCCACTACAAGGTCACATTTCCCCCCCAGTTTTTTCACATCTCTTGTATGTTTGTCCCCCTCCCACAACTGTTTTTATCCTTTCCCACAATCTTCTGACAAAACCCCCTACATCATCTGCCTGATCTGTCATTTTGCACATGTTGACGCCTCTTTACCCCACTAATCTGATCCCCCCCGGAGTCCCACAATCCCCTTCCTGTATGGTCCCAACTTCTCCCCTCCCATCAACCCCCTACCCATTCCTCGTTTTTCGACAGGGGGGAGCTCATGACTGACCCGTTCGGGATCAAGTGGTGGGTGCATCCGGCCACATACGCCTATGTCGGCGACCATCCCGAGCAGTGTAAGGTGGTGGGGACTAAGTCGGGCATTAGCACAGCTTTTCCCTGTCCAAAGTGCACAGTCCTAAACTCAGCACTGAACGACATGACACACACGATCACCTATAGGACTGAAATGGAGCAGGCTGGTTTTGTGGCCAAGATTTTGGGGAAACCGAATAAGACTGCACATAGTGAGGTAGAGGTTGAGCACAACACAAATGGCGTCGAGTGTGCACTATGGGGTTTCGAGTGGAATGATGAGCCATTTGGCAATCCCTATCGAGCACTCATGGTAGACCTCATGCACATGAGCAGTTTAGGTGTGTACAAGCACATCCTAGAGTGTCTGAAGCAAAGATTGTCGAACGACGTGCTGGCCAAGCTTGACAAAGACCTAGCGAACATCACGACATTCAGCAGACAGTCCTATTTTAGACTACCTGCACACACGAATGGATACTTCAGTGGTCACAGCACCTTCTATGCATTCCAGCACCAGGCAGTCATGCAAGTTTTCCCTGTCTTGCTGATGCGCCAAAACGTCAGCCCATCCATTGTTACAACCATTGAAATGTTCTGCCAATGGCATGCCACAGCATGGCACCACGCGTACCACACTGAGGAGACCCTTAAAGACCTTGAGAAGATGACCCGCGTGTAAGTATCACTTGGGCTTTTCTGGTTGCATTGTTGTTCACCCTAGGAATTTGGCACTGAAGGATTCTCCTCTCCTCTTTCCTGTTCTCGTGCACTGTGTGCAGGCTAGTTCCGCTGCTGATCGAAAATTTCAAGGACGAGCAGAGCTCTGAGTTCAACATTCCCAAGATTCATGCAATGCTGCATGTCGCTGACGACATAAGGAGGGGAGGTATACCGGTGCATTACTGCACAGACATATACAAGCACATACACATCGCCTTGGTGAAGCGTCCGTACCATGCGTCAAACAAGTGCAACGCGGAAGCTTCCATCACGCGACGGTGTTTGACAATGGAGCTCGTGGACGCCATGACTGTGAACGATGATGCAGTGGAGGACAAGGAAGCACGAACAGTGGCAATGAAACAGGTTCGCTCATCGTTCTTGTACTTGGTGTGCTCCCCAAACCCTTATCTCACTAATATCACAACCCTGATTCAATCTCATTCCCTCCTTCCCGCACATGTGAGGGAGTTCCCACCATCAACCCCTTAGCTGTTGTTTTGCTTGCTTTGCCCAGGTGTGGTTCATGCCTTAACTTCCCATCCTCCCCCCTTACCCTGCTGGTTTACGATGGGGCCAAATCCATGCCCCTTTTCTTATGCAATGGGTTGTTCTCTGTCACCTCCCTACCAA